TTTTTAGTTCATACTTTTTGTAAGTTAAACTAAACGCTTTGTTGAATATATACTTAATTGAAAATTTGTACTTTTTTTAAGAAGTACCGGTACCTTATAAATGATTCACAGTTTCTTAGCCTTTTCACATACGTATAGGGGTGGGTATTGGCAAAGAAGTCACGATTCGATTCGAATCACGATTCACATGCCACGATGCGATTCTATCACGATGCATCACGATACTTGAAATATTGCGATGCATTGGGATATTTTCACTGAACACTGTAAGAAAAAGATACAGCCCTTACCAGTGGCTGACTGGCTGTGTATGATCTGGATAGTGTCTTCAATTGATACATAACTGAAAGCAACTGAATTCATACATAGCTGTATTTATTGAAATTACTTTTGGAGGTGTTGTCATGAAAACAAATACTGGACAGAAATATTACTATTACTGGTGTGGACACACTAACAAAAAGATCTTAGGATTCATCAAACTTAAAATAACAAAATGAGGATAATCAGTGCCATTTACATGGCCTCAGTGGTCTTTTAAACCAATTAAATGAAAACATTCAAATGTAAGACATTTCCCCTTTTGGAAATTACGTGCGTCATATCAATTTCGTTTTTACCTTCTTTGTTTTTAAAGCCAAAATGCATCCAAGCATCTGACTTGAAATGTGATGGAGCTGGGGGGCGAATTTTCTCAGTCTCCTCCATATTTTGTTTACGAATGACTCTTCTCAGTATCCCAAGGCCGGACATGCTTGCAACACAAAGCAGCAGGCGTCAACACATCCGCAGCGACATCTGCTGGACTGGAAGTGGTATTCCACTTGGTTTGATTGATGTGCGCCAACCATTATTGTATTTTATTTGTTCATTTTTTTTTTTTATATAATCGATTCTTGCCTTCAAGAATCGATTCAGTAGATCACAAAAATTAGAATCACGATGCATCGATTTGACGATTATTTTGCACACCCTTAGTATATACATATTGCCTGACTTCAAAGCTCAAATGCCATCTAAGAACCAATGGCAGGGTAGAGGGTTTATGACCCAGTTTGAACTCTTTTAGGCTCTGATGGGAGATCACTCCTAGAGAATCATTTAGAGGAAGTCCTCTGTGTGTTTGCTGTTTGGATGACGAATAAGCTTTTAGTTTGCTCCAAAATAAGCTTCCGCAGATAAATTCCTGATCTATGTACCCTTTTTTTAAAGCCTGTGCAGGAATTATGCACATTGGATGCTTGCAGATAAAATAAAGCACATTCCACTTCCATGACCTTCCAGCAATGTGTGACAATCTGCTGTCAGTGCTGATTGAGGTGAGAGGCAAAGAAAAGGAAAGGATATTAACAGAATCCCAATGGAATGAACGGGTGCAGACAGATTCTTTTTTCCAGGGTTTTATGGCCACTTCCATGTACTTGAATGGTTCTCAGTTGAACCAAATTATATTTCCTGGTGTTTGTGAATCAAAGGTGTTGACAGGCGTGAGTATGGCCAACAAGGCTGCATGACAGAGTCAGGGTGAAAGTATGCAGGGGCTTTTAGAGCCACTGTAAGAAATGTAGACGGCCAGCCTCTCCTCACACAAAAGCTGAAGAACAGTCTCGCACCTGAGTGGAAGCCTCAGTCTGTTGGGGGGACGGGGGTTATTTTAGGTATCCCTTTAAGAGTTTGCCCTTCTTGCCCCCTTAAATCCATAACAAAAGACCCCAACTCTCTCCTGGATAATAAGATTCCCAGCCTTCTCTGCACCCCAGAGGAGTTGCTCCGACTAGAAATGCAGGTGCATGTGATCCTTTAAAGGGTGACTCATTATGGCCATTCACAGAGGGAGATTCTGGGAAAAGAGAAGCCTGTTTTGAGACCCATATTTTGTGTTACCCAGCTTACCACTATATGATGATGACCTTAGAAAGTTCCTGTAAAGAATAAAACAGATGTTTACATGTAGGCGAAATGCTTCTTAAATTAGCCCATATATTTGGGCTGCTGACAGGAAGAAGCCTCTGCAGCTTTGTATCGATGTGACTAATGGGCATTAGACACAGAGTGGGAGTCAGGAAGTATTAGGGGTACGGTATGCTAAAAATGTGACAGAAAGCAAATAGTTGGTGGGAAGACATAGTTTTGCGACAAAACGGGGAAAAACAGTTCATGACTTGCTTGTTCTGTTTAGACAGGTTTAGCAAATCTTTTGCTTCAAGTATGACTGCAGGGGGGTGTGGAGGTGGCACAGCACTAAAAGTACAGGACCACGTAGCCAGGCCTTAGCCCTTGATGCAGCTTTCAAAGGTTTGGGTCCCATCCTGCTGACCCTATATGCGTGTGTTCAAAACACCAAGCAACTTATAAAGGTAATTATAACAAATATAGCAGTATCTAGGGTTAGGAATTGATAAGATTTTCATGATTCCGAATCCCTTATTGATTCTTGTCAGTCATCTCAATCTAATGGAGAAGGCCTCCGTTTAATGAAAAAGCATTACTGTACAATTTCGGGAAATAAACTAATCTCCCCTAAAACATGCTAGCAATGAAGGGCTGGATTAAAGAGAAAGGCATACTCCCTTCATAACCCCAAAGATAGGTAGGAAATTGGTTTATTTCGAGAAATGGCGTATAATTTAATAGGAACCACATTAAGCTCAGCCAGTGATATAAAACTAGCTACTTACCACCAGATCTACTTTCCATGCTGGTGGTAACTTTAGCTTCTGGCCGGAAGCATCAAAAACACAGCATTTTTTAAAATGTATGCCATGTTGTGTGCGCAGGTGTTTCTGCATGTTGGATCTATTTCCTCCCGCGGATGTAATTTCCACTTTGTAATGGTTGCAAATCACCTTATTGCCATCTTTCTCTTCCTTAAAATGTAGGGTGAACAGATTTGGGTTTCTGAAAAGGAGGACACTTTTTTTTTGTCAACTGCTGGGCCACTGACTGGACCTGACCTCAGCAGAGAGCCATGAGCCGCCCGTCCTCAGCCGGAGGAGGGGGGCTGGGGACTGGTAAGGCAGGTGGGGGGAAGCATGGGGCCGCCGTTGTCCAGTCTACTGTTACCGGGTCAGGTTTGGTTTCTCCGCCCCCCGCCCCGGCTCCCTGTTTCGACTACGTGCTGCACTGTAGTCGACCAAAATCCTGGTTAATTTTGAAATTCCCCCCAGACATTTTTTAGGTCTGAAAAGTAGGACATGTCCGGGAAAAAGAGGACGTCTGGTCACCCTATTAAAATAAAGCCAAACTTTTTATCGGTTTACCCGATGGGATGCCATTTTTTGCTTTTTGCTTTTCTAGACTTATGCCTGGTCACGTCGTACTTGCTTACTGAATGCTGTGTGCGCAACTTGCGTAAAAAATGTGACGTAAGTTGTGCTGCCCAGAGCCCTAGGCTCTGGTGCTGCCTGGATATGGTATTATGAAATGATAACTTTAAGCCACATAAAGCAGTTTCTGTTTAATGATTAACAAAAATGTCAGACATGTTGTGATATCTTTCATTTAAAACAGATTTAACAATTATTCCCTTCATCTTAACTTGTAAAGGTAGGATCTGCAACATATTTTTATTTGGATTTTAACATGTAGACAGAAATAAAGAGTAAATGCATGCTCACCTTGGATGTAGTCATTGTCGGACAGCCGGGCGTACACTGTATGATATTATCGTTGCACGCAGCTACAGCCCAAACTGTACAACGAAACTAGAGGGTTTAAAAGTTCACAGCTCACGATGGATGTTCTCACACTGATGCTCTGATGCAACCTTACAACGGCTGACTGGATTTCAAACATGTTTGATTTTCTCCCGATCTTACGATTCCTGATCGAAAGGTGGTCGTGAGAGGCTGATCGCCCCTCTTTATCCCCTGTACACTACATGACGCACGACACATGATCAGTCTGCGGTCAGCCCAATCGAAAAATTCTCGCATGACTGGGGAATAAATCATACAGTGCATGCCTGGTGTAGGTACCAGATCTGCTCGGGTCCTGCGCATGTCAGTGACATTATTCTATATGATTAGCTGAACATTGCCACATGATGTGAAACATTGTGGTTATTCTTTTTTCTTTTGAGAACCACCCTGGGGCTTCAGCAGAAGGGTGAGCGCAGAAAAACACTGAGATCTGACGATAAGTGTGAAAGAATGGAGAAAAAAAGGGGAGGAGTAGAAAACGTGCCAGTTCAACCCTGTGACCTCTGTCTCATAAAACACAACATAGAAATCTGGGGTTCTTTCTTTCCTTGAGCCAAAACTGTTTATACAGTTGATTTTAGCATAAGGAATTAAAGGTAAACAAACTGATAAACCTTTTATTAATACTAGAATATGTCATGTATGAATTTGTTTTTCTGCTTACCCAACAGATGTTGGGTAAGCAGAAAAACAGCATGTTCAACAAAACAATGGATAAACTAATTTAACTCACATAAGTTATTTCTTTCTTTTTTAGACTTTTCCAGATTCTCTGTACTGGCAGCTATGGCAAACTTTAAAGCCTGTCTGGCTGCCTTATGCTGTCATTGTACTACATCAAGGGAAGGGAGATAGCTATGAATGAACAGATTTAAAAATATAGATTAAAAGGATGTATTAGGCCCCGAAATGCCAATACAATTCTTTATAATCACTCAAAATAAGCTAACTTGATTCTGTTGTATTTAATACCTGCTAATTAGAAGTAAAATAATCAAATAATATTTTGTATACATGTGATTTGGTGCAGCACATTGGTGGCCTTGTGCTCAACGAGGTTGATAAACAAGCAGGATGGATGGCTGGAAGGAAAACAAAAAAGCAAAAACATATGCTCCCAAGCTGGTTGCAGCTGCTTTTTGCTTTATGGGTTTGCATGTACCAATGTGACTGAGTTTGCCTCTATTCATAAATTTGATAGAGTATTTTAGGTCCTTGAGGTAATGTCTCCCTTAGCGCTGTCTCCTTGGCTCATATATTTTAAGCTGATCTTTTCTGTTGTATTGCATTTTCCCTCAGGGGTTTCTTACTCCTATGAGCAAGATGGAGAAGAGGGTGCAGCAGTGGATGTGAGGCTGTACAGTCACCGGTGGAGGAGGTGGCTTCCCCCAAAACCTCGTAACATGGACAGTAACAGAGCCAGCCAGGAGAAGGAACAGGAGGCAGAACCAGGGGAACCTGAAGGTTTCCCCGGCCTGTTCTCTGCAGAGGACACTGATAACAGCTCCCAGATTGAG